ACTGAACCGCATGAGTGACAGTAAGTTCCAGGGTCCTCCTGGGGGGACCACGCCCCCACCCCCCACCACTCTGTGTCCTGAGGCAAAACCCCAAGCCCTGACTCGCCCTGCGAGGAACCGAAACCGTGGATGTATTTTGTAACTATGAGGCTGAGTCTTCAGCCCATCCCCACAACGCTAATTAGGCAGGGTTTGGTGTTTTCTTTGTGTCTTTTGGTGTGATGACGCGAACCATGAGGTCAGGAAGCCAGGCAGGCGAGAACTGAAGCTGAGCGGAAGGCGCTGGCAGCCCGCCTCTCCAAGGAGCTTCCGGGGACACGGAGCCGCTCCCGGTACCTGGGGTGGAGGGCAGGCCAGTTCTGTCACTGTGGCCAGCGAAAGTGTCATGTGGTCCAAGGGCACTCGTCCACACCTTTTTCCCGGAAACAACTCTTCTTCTGCTACTCGGAGTGTCTGGGTTTTATATATTTTATTTCCAACCCAATCATGCTAGGATCTTGCGTCTACATCTACATCTCTACGTCTGAGGCATTCACTACCCCCTTGCCCCCCTGAAAAGCTATTGAGCTACTCCTCCCCTTCGTGCTAACCCACCACGTGGTTTGTTCTGGAAGCATTTCCTTGATCCCGCTAAAAACATTCCTGAGTGACTCCTTTTCCTCAGGAATTAGACGGCGTGGTGGGCCCATGCGATAGGCCAGCCTTTCCCCACACGCATTAGCACTGCAAAAGCTGAACAGGTGAATCTTTAGAAACGGCATGTATTTTTCTTTTTAATCCCAGAGAATATTTGAAAAAAAAATTGTGCTAAGGAAAAAATTACAGATTTTGCTTGCTTGTGTGCATGCGTGCACGAGCTGGGGGGAGGGGGTGTGGCAGGGAGAGAGACTTTCCTTTGAGAGGCCATGTTTACAGCGAGCACCCGGCCCATGGCTCTGTGGACCAGAGCCCACCCAGGGCAGCAGCTGCCACCTTTACAAGGAGCCTCGAGCACGTCAGTGACTTGGAGACCCCCAGCCTTCGGGCCAGAGGACGTGCAAGTGCACAGAGGCCCATCTCTGTCTGCAGAGTCGGGGTGCTGTCCCAGGGCGGGGGGCCGAACAAGCTGCATTCCTCCGTGGGAGGGGTGGGGTACGGTCTCTTTTGCAGGCCCGTGGGTCTGGTGGGGGCCTGCAGGGAGTACACAGTGAGCAGGGTGAGGGTGCAAGGGGCTTAGGGGTGCGATCTGACACCTGTGAAAGATAAAGCGAGCAGGCCTGGGTGGGCGAAGCCTCAGACCTGATGCCGTGGGCAGAGGCTCAGGGCAAAGAGGGCCTGCTGGGGCGTCCGGCCCACCCCCACAGTCCGACGGGCTGGGGCTGCCTGCCGACGGGGGCCTCAGGCCGCACCCCACAGCCCTGTCCTGGGCACCCTGCCTCTGCCCCTCAGCCTGCCCGCTGGCCCCGCTGCCCTTGCTCTTGGGCATCCCTGACTTTTCCGTGGGACTCACTTTAAAGAATGCTGATGGTGGCTCAGTGGCTCTGTGCGAAGCAGGCCCTGTGCTCAGGTCACAGTCCTCAGGCCCCGCACCGTGACAACCGCATACAGCGGTCACAATCTGCAGAGCGAGCAGGGCACTGGGGCTGGATGACGCACCTGCTCTCCCAGCCCCCACAAGGGCAGCCGGGCTCAGCCCCGCACGCCCAGCTTCCCCATGTGCTGCATATCTGCTGCCATCTGTCCTCGGCCGGGCACTTGCTTCTCCTGCTCTCGTGACCTTGACTTGGACCCCCAGGCCGAGCAGGTCAGGCTTCTCTCCAGGTGCCTTCTACACCACCTGTATTCCTAGCTGACAGAGCTCAAAGATTTCTGAACAGTGCCCCGTGTCTCCTGAACAATGTTTTTCTATTATGTTAATCAAAAGTATATAACATCTATCCATTTGAGGTTAGTGTTAATGTGCTGGACTTAGACCCCCAGCAAAGTTATCTTTAGTTATGGTGTATTTTTACATCTTGGGTAACTGTAAAGTTCCCTTCAGACTGTTAAAAATGCCTGAAGTAGCCCCAGGGCTGTGGCTCTCTTGGCCTGTTTAGGGATCAGAGAAGTCCTGGATGAGAACCTCTTTGTTTTACAGAAAAGGAAACCAAGACCTGAAGGGGTAATGACCTTGACCAAGGTCACAGTTCAGCGGGAGGCTGGCTCTAAGTTCCCTGGGCATTGGCAACAGCCTGATGTCTGTGTCCAGCTGCCCTGGGAAGCCTCCACTGGGGTCACCCACCCACCGGCTGTCCTCTCCCAGGACCCACCCAGAATCCACACCTTTGTGCCCCTGAATGAGCCATGATGGGGACACATGATGGAGACATTCATCTCCAATGAAAGTCTCAGAACTAGAAGACCCCCGTGGGCTCAGAGGTGGGCCGCTGTCTGCCATTTGACCTTGGGATCACCCCTGGGGCTCTGGTTTACTTTATCTGTGAGACGGGAGCCCAGCAAGCTTGTTCTAAGAATTAGAAATCACGCACCAGGTGTCCCTCCCCCAGGGCCCGGCTCTCACTCAGGGTGGGCACGTAAACGCCATTTTCCTTCCCATTCACTGCAGAAGCCCCCTCACTCTATAAACCTGGGTCACTAACTCTTTAGGCAAGAATTGTTCTTTCCCCATTTTAATGTAGGCAACTGGGGGCCCAAGTTCCTCTCCTAACATGAAGGCATCAGTCACTTCTGGGGTCAGAAGCTCTGACCTGGTGGCCAAGCCAGGGGGCTCTGCCGCCGGCCGTAATCTGCTGGGAAAGACATGCAACTTTGCTGTGCCTCAGTTTCCACAAATGTCAAATGGGTGCCGCAGTCTCTACTCACGGCCTTGTTTTCATAAGTAGCTGAAACGCACGCATATAATAGGCTCTCAGCAAACCCGAACGATGACCACATCCCCATCCGCCTGAGCACTGCTGGGCTCTGCCAGCAGCGGAGGGCTGGCTGGCGGACTTCCAAGTTCCATTTAAATGTTTACTCTGTTCTTACGGTCAGATGAGCTTTTTCAGAGGCAAATTCCTGCTCAGGTCAGGTGTGAGTGATCACCGATTCTAACTGAATATAGATTAGCTTGTACTGATGGCACTTTACAATGTTAGACCAATGCAGTATTTTGTTTTGATGATATAAAAGCTCGAAGTAACTACTGAGAGGCCATCAAATAGCTAACTGATGAGGTGCTTTTTAATTAGTTTTCAACAAGTCATTATACGAACATGTGCATATGATAAACTTGACCACCACCACCTAGCGCACAATCAAGGTTTCCTCAGCTCTGCCCAGGCAAGTGACACATGGGGTGGGAACAGGGCTTGTCCTTCCGGAAGCTTTCTGGACCTGCAAATGCATGCACTGCATTTTAATCCAGAGAAGGGATCCTTGTGCACCCGATGTTCAGCATCTTCTCTTTATTTTTAACTTAAATCTTGGCGATTATGTAATATCAGCCTGTATAGGATTGTCACATTACACTTATTGTTTTAAATTAAAAATATTATTGAATGGATATTCTGGAGCGTACTTAACCAGGTTGCTGTTGGCTGTTTCTGGGTTTTCCGTAATTCGGCGCCGGTGGAACGTGGCCACGCACACACCTGCAGGTGCTGGCGGGGTCACCTGCAGGGCAGATGACGGGAAGTGGCCGTGCAGGGCCCCAGGTTTTACAAACGTTCCATTTCCACGCACATTACAAAGCATAGCTTTTCGTTTCACCAATACGGGGATCGGGAGCAGGGCAGGTGGACGTCTGTTTATTTTCGTCTAGGTGTTTTCTTAAATAATTTGAGGAGGCTTCAAATCAGGCACAGCCAGCAGTAGCAGCACCTGGTGTTTTTAAATAGCTTTCAAATGGATCCTGTTCAAGCTCAGGAGGAACAGGTGGGCCTGAAGACCGGAAGACACGACTAGGCGCCAGGCCACATCCAGGTATCAAATGGAGGAAGCAGAGCTGACCCTCTGCGGTCGCCATCGCTTCACCAGGCGGCCCCGGGACAGTCCTGTTAGCTGTTCCCTCTGCCAGCTCAGCCACAGGGCAGGTGCCGCCCCCTCCCATTGGCCAGGCCGGGAGAGGACAGGGGTCAGTGACCTCAGGCAAGCAGCTGGGTGAGGGGTCAGTGACCACACACACAAAAGCGGCTGGGCCAGCGAGGCCAATTCAGGGCCATTGCCACCCCTCCCTCCAGTGCGGGAACTTCCTCCACGGTCAAAAACCAATACAACGTTGCGAGCCGGTGCCAACTATAAGTCAGAGGACACCACGCACACGTGGGTCTGAAACTCGATCCTCCAGCCGAGCCAGGGCTCCCAGGACGCTCCCCACCGGCCGCCGGCCCCCCCGCGGTGAACCTCAGACCACCACCTGGATTCGGGAGGGGGAGCTCATGCCCGGAAACACCCCCAGTGCCCTCAGGCGATTTTCCCAGGGAGGTAGGGGGAGCGTAGGTGGGGTCGCAGGGCCCACGGTGCGGTTTTTCTGCCCCGTCTGCCCAGACCCCTCCCGCCACGCCGTGCCCCGGCCCTGGGCCCCGCACCCCGCCGGTGCGGCCCTCGGCCAGCTGACCGCCTCCCTGCGCCCTTAATTGGGCCCCTCCACCGACCTCGCCAGTCGCACGCCCCACGTGGGCCCCTCCCAGGTCGCGTCGCTCCTGCTGCCTGCGCGTCCGTTACAGGGCCCGACAGGTCCCTTCCCGGCCGGCGCCCGCCCTGCCCCCACGCCACGCCACGCCACGCCGTGCCCTCCGTGTTTCCCCGTCCCTACCGCGTGCTCCCCAGCTCCCTGCGTCCCCCTGTCGCCCGGCGTGCTCCCCTGACCCCTGCGTGTATCCCCCGCGTGTCTCGCGTTGCCCCCGCGGCGTGTCCCGTGCCGCCCCCCCGCCGCGTGTCCCCCGCCCCGCGCGCCGGCGGAACTGTGGGATCGGCGCGCACAGGAAGTGTCGGGACGGCGCGGCCGAGGGCGGAGGGCGGCGGGCCGGGCGGGGGGATGGGGGCCGGGGGCGGCGGGCGCCGCACTCGCTGAGGCCCGACGCAGGGCCGGGCGCCCAGGGCCGGAGCGCAGGCCGGAGCGGCCCGGAGGCGACGCCGGGGCCACGCGCGCGACGAGCAGGTGAGCGGCGCGGCCGCAGCGGAGGTCGGGTCCCCACTCAGCCGCCCGAGGTCGGCCCCCGGCCCCGCCGCCTGAGGTCGCCCCCTCCCGCCCCGAGCCGCGCCGCAGTGGGCCCGCTGAGCGCCAGCGGGCGTGGGGCCTGCGGGAGGACGGGGCGGAGGGGTCCGCGGCCAGGGCCCTCCCCGGCCCCACCTCCCCCGCCCTCCCCGGGGCCTTGTCCAGCCGAGGCCCGGGCCACTTTCCCACCTGCCTGCCGCGGCCGGTGCGCTGAGCCCGGGGAGGGGGCGCCCCCGGAGGGCCTGGCGGCTGGCCAGGGGCGCGCCACCCTCTCCCCTCACCCCGGACTTTGCGGGGTGGAGGCTGTGATCCCTCGCGGATGCCACGCGCCCCGCTTCCCGTGTGGGGGAAGCTGGTGACCCGGGACCCGCGATGTGACCCCCTCCTCCTCGACCCAGCACGCGGCGCCCCGGGTTGGTTTCACTCTTTGCAGCGGGCCCGGGGGAGGGCCGCAGGTGTACTGCAAGGGAGGGGCGCGCTGAGTTTCCGTTTGGACCAAAGGCTGACTGTGAATTTCCAGGGTTCTAGTCAGGTGATGAGTGCATAATCCCAGAGCCCTGGGGAGGAAGCCACCCCTACCCCAGGGCCACCCAGAGCACCTGGGAGCCTTTGATCCCCAACTCCTCAGGACAGAAGGATTATTAGCAGTTGGTGCTACCTTGAAAAATTGTGCAGTTTTTTTTTTTTTAAACTTTGAGAGAAGTTCAGTGAAATAGGAAAAATGCTTTTTTAATAAATGGCTTCCCAGACCTTTTTTTAAAAAAGAGCATAATGTTGAGTCTTGTTTAAGAATACATGAGCAGTTGGGTGACTTTTCATAGGAAATATGATCTATGAGATGGAAAAAATGAGGGCTGTTGGCCTTGAGACAGGCTGGAGTGAGAAGTGGCCACTTACACTGAAAGTGAAAATCATCCCGGAGAGCCCAGATCCACAACGACCGCGGGCTGGTGCTGACGGGCGAGAGGTGGCCTCTAGCCCGGAAGGTCGCCGATGTGTTAAATTACAGCGCTGCATGCTGATGATGCTCATTTAGGGAGCGCTAATCAACGCCCTCCCTTTAAAAGCATCATAAGAGGTCTCAGTCAGATTCTGGATATTCTCTAATTTCATGATTTGCTTTCTGTTCCCTGCCCCTTATTTTGTCGTGTCCGTGTCCCCCCCCCCCCCCCCCCCCCACCCGCCCGGCCAAGTTTCATAGCCTGTTACAATTCACTTCACTTCTGTATCCATTTCTTGGTGACTCTCAGAAATTGTCTGGGCTCTGTGGTTTAAAGAGGAAGCTGTGTGTGATTGACTTTCAGCATGCACAGGGCCTCTCGCCGGCCTTGGAAGGTGTAGGTGGCTTAATGTTTTGAACCAAACCTCATGGGCTTGGCCAGAGCCTCTGTTCGCCCCACCTGCGGGGGTCCTGCCTGGGCACCTCCACCAAGATGTCTGCCTTTCAGCAGCATCCCAAAGAGCTTGCAAGGGCTGGGCTGAAGTCAGCACTGTGGGTGGTGAAGGCGGACTGGGGGCGGGGGGACCCTTGAATCGCAGGGTCCTGGCTCTAGAAGCTGCCTGGGGTGGTGGAGGGGGCATTGCTGCTGCCTCTGGGCTGGCCCAGCACTTGCAGGGTTCCTCCCGGTGTGTGTCCTCACAGTGGCGCGCCAGGGCTGCGGAGGTCAACTGAAAGTTGTTTTATTTTGGAAGTTAGAACAAGAGCATCCACCAAAGGGACCCTTTTCACCCCTCTGTCCCCGTCACCTAGCGGTGGGTCCTGACACAGCGGGGCAGCCCTTGCCATGGGTCATCTCTGATCAGACTTTGATCTTGTAAAGAGTGGTCTGTGACAACAGCGAGGTGCCGTTACCTGCTGAAGGTCAGGTCGCAGGTCACCGTGGCGAGAATTTAAACTAAGCTGCATGGGCTCTCATCTCCTCAGACCCGGTCTGCTAGAAGTCGGTAAACTTCTGTCTCTGGTTATATCAGAGGTAGGAGGGAAATGTCGAAATCCTCACCAATGGGAAATGGAAAGCAGGTGTGTTTGAGAAGAGCCAGGTTTGCTGGGGTTTTGCAGGGAGGGTCTGGGTAATTTGTCCAGGCACATATGACCCTGAAACACACACCGTCTGTTGACCTTCAGCCTGACTTAGCAGGGGACGGGAGTGGGGGCTGGCCCTTCCCTGTGAGCAGTCAGCCCCTCGTCGCTGTCAGAACGCACCTGTGGCAGAAGCAAGGCGTCTTCTCCCTTCTGTGTCTTCCCCCTCTGGCCTTGTCAGAAACTCGAATATTTTACTGTTACCAGTTGTGGCTGATTGCTGTTGAGAGAACAAAGCAGTGGACAGATTGGTTACATTGTTTTCTTTCTGAATGATTTGTATAGCTGAGATCTTTATTGCTGAGTCTTCTCATTAAGAAAATTTATATTACAGTAAATTTTGTAAGACCGGTTGCTAAGAAATGTATGGGTTTTACTTAGGTAAACTACTTTTTGGTCAACCAAAGAACGCTTGAAGTTTTAAATGAGTTGTTTCAAATCGTACAGGGAAATGACTGTGACTTGATCTGTCGTTCCTAAAACCATTTAATGATCATGTAAAAATTAGTCCTGAGTGTCTAACTTTAAAATGCTGCATTTTAGGCAAACACATAGGTGGTTCATCCTCTGACAGTCTTTCGTCTAGTTGTTCAGAAGGATTCGCCTTGTCTGAGTATCTCTATCACGCAAGGTGCCTGCGGCGCAGTGTGGATTGCGGCAGGGCCACCAGGCGCGTTTATCTGGACGGGGCAGAGCGGAGCATGGGGGGACCTGGCCAGGTGCCCGTGGCAGGGCCGAGGCCGCTGCCTGGTCCTGCAGCTGTGGCCGCGCTGGCCGTGTGCTTTCCCGAGGAGCCCGAAGGGCCGTGGAGACACTTTAGATGCCAGTGTCACCAGGCTGAAAGAAGTGCATGTCCTTGAACACGTGACAGGGAGACGTCTTCCCGGCCGAGTGCGGTGCGTCACAGAGGACGAAACGCCGAAGCTGGGTGCCCCTGTGGGAGCAGCACCGCTTGTCCCCAGGCGACATGGGCGGCCATGCATCATTCATGTGGATCATCTGGGTTCCTCCCTGAAAGCAGTGGGGAGTGGAATCGGTCACAGGGAATGGCGTGGAGGTTTCCCGCTCGAGCGGTAGTAAAAGCAGCCACCAGGAAGGCCCTCACCCAGATCCGTGGCTCACGGTGACCCGCTCCCCGATGGTCGCATACCAGGCAAGGGGCTGGGCTGGGGGTGCCAGAGGTGGCGGCTTTCTCTCTGCATCACATCGTTTGCTGACCTGAAAACATTCCAAGTATAAGCCGCCATGAAATGTGTCCCCTGCTGTGTCATTTCGGCTTTGTGTGTCATGTTCATAACAACAGCTACTATTCTTGCACTTTTGTCAGGCATTTTATGTGCTTATTTTGTTGTTTAATTCTCAAAACTACCCTGTGAGGACAGTGGTGTGGCCCCATTACACAGACGGAGAAACTGAGGTGGGTGAGCTTGGCCAGGGCTGCTTACTGCGCAAGTGGTGAATCCAGGTTACAAACAAAGGTCCGATTGAATCCAAATCTCCTCAATGCTCAGAAAGCTCAGCATATGAAAAACCCGCATTTCAGAAACAGAAGCTGAGCGGTTGGCTTTACAGAAATATTCATTTACAACCTTCTCACTTGCAGAGGGTTGCCCTTGGTGGCCGGGGTCAGAAATGCCCATCAGAAATGATAGAAACAGACACGTACCAGACGTTGCATGGGGAAGACTAGAGATTCAGTTTCTGCACATTCATCGTGCTCAGCTTTCCATTAGCTACCAGGTAGGACTGCAACGAAGAGCTGCCATTGACATAAGGAGCGTGCTGACGATTGCGTGACACTCTCCATAGATTGGTTTCTAATTTAGACTATTGTCCTAGTCTCTAATTGAAATGATTGATTGAATGAATGAAGGAATGTACCTTTTATTAGGAAGATACACATAATCCTTATGCTCAGAGAGAAATCACTCCATTGGTAGACCTTGCAAAGTATGGTCCAATAGCAGCAATTTTTATCAAATACGACAGAAGTCAAATTTTGTTACGCAAAGACTACTCAGTGTGGGTGTTTCAGGAGGGGGACGTCCAGGTGAGAAGGGCCAGGGGATTTACTGGGAGTCTGCTGGGGAGGATGAAGGGAGAGGGCGGGACGCGGCAGGGCTGCCAGACTGCATGACATCTGGAGGGGACCAGGAAGGGCGGAGGCCTGGGCAGGGACCTCTGCCGGGGGCGTTAGGCCAGGACGCTGCCCACCCCAGGAGCCCCGCACCCCTCAGGCCCAGCCCTGTGTGAGTGCCCCCTGCTGAGCTCCCTGTGGGGGGGGTCCTGGGGGCTGGAGGCTCCCCTCCCACCATGTGGCTGGTCCTCTCAGTGGGGTCCAAGTGACAGGGCTCTGTGGCTTCCTCAGAGACTAGGTTTAGTGACGTGGTGATCCACAAAAATGGACGGGCTCAGTGGAAATAACCTCAGCTGTTAGCGACCGCATGGCTCTGGTCATGTTTGGTTTGGTTTGGTTTTAGAAAAAGCCCGTGGTTACGGCCGGTCTCCTTAAACCAACTCTCAGGCCCTGTCTTGTGATGTGTGAGTGTCCCGGTGAAAGAAGCAGGTGCCTCCAGACAGATGACAGAGATCGGCACACACATGTCACTGTGTAAACACTATTTGCAGTTTTCTAAACCAAGGCATGTGCTACTATAACCGAAGTTCTAGAACGTTTGGTAGCAAACGCACCAGTAGCCTGCAGGGCAGTTCTAGCTCTGGCCTCGCAGGGCCTTTTCCTGTAGCTGCGCCTGCTTTGCCCTCTTCCTTCCTTCCTTCATGTTTTAGAGACTTATTGGGTATAACGGTTTCTTTTTTGGTGAACAAAGCTCTATGTGCAAGTTGTAGAGAAGACTCCGGCAGG